AGTTTTCTCTTTCAAACCTGCTCCGTAGACTTTATTCTGTAACCACAAAATAATATTTGGGACTGTTATACACATATTATACATGTCATGTATACTAGCTTATCTATCGTAATTAATAACAAAATTCTCAAAATAAAAAATTAGCAAAATTTAACTAAATATTATTAGTTTATGTGCAATATACACTACCGTGTTTCCAGACTGTGTTCAAACTCGGAACTTTCTCGACATAGATAATACAAGTGATAGATTCGAATCAATTTACAGTATATTTTTTTTACGCAAAAGAATAAAGATTAATCTACTAATATGTGAATGTATAATATATACATTATATTACAAAATGTGGTAAGATTTAAATTTAATCTCTCAGTATATTTTGAAAATATTTTAGAGTTTTAACTAATTATTTACGTTTTTACATATTTATGTATATTATAGATTTTTTTTGTTGTCCTGGACACAACCACGGTTTCGAATACTGCCTCGCCCACGTCCTCTTCTTTTCCATTATGGTGCTGAAACAAATTGTTGAAATTGAAATAATTTAATGAACAGATACTAATTAGTATGCATATTAAATATTTGAAATAAATCTTGTACTTACATCTCGATATCTGTGTTGGCTCTGTTACCTTGGTAGGTGGTTGTTCTATCGATTCGAAAGATGATGGTGGCGATAGTTTGGAGGATGGTGGCGACGGTGGGGCGGATTTTTTGGCAATCCTTGCTTTGTAGCAATTGCTTCCGCCGTTTGAGCAATTTCTGCCAAAGCCACATTTTGTCTTTCATCAGTCCTGTAAAATAGGAATTAATATTTGCTATGGAATATTTTTCGAGAAAAATATACTTACATGTCCTGGTCGACATTCATTGTAGAACGTAGAAACTTTCAAGCCTCGATTATTATAATCACGTTGCGAACGTTCACCAAAGCTGATGCAATACCCGCAAAAATACCCGGCGTAGCCTTTTCGAATCGAACACCGGACGTTCGCGTGTACAATGTCGTCAAATGCGCGTCAGGATGCCCAAATCTGAATTTTATTTAAACAAAACTATACACTACGAGGAACAGTGAAAAACAGTTTTTTTTTTTCTCGAAAGCAACCCCGAGTTGAAACATGTCCGTTTGGACCGAGCGACTCGCTGAACTCTGAAACCGGAAACGGCGGAAACACAACAGGCACAGATTAGAGAACCCAAGGAGAGAGAATCGCCAACTCAGGGTGCATTCCCAAATTCACTGTCAGTGCTGAAATTATATACAGTATACGTTACGTGCGCTATAGATTTTCAGCATAGGCAGTGAATATCGGAAATCTGCACCCTCGATCATGTGACCAGCTAGGCAGCTCCTCCGTGATTGGCTGGCATAAATATGTGTTGATTTAGGTATTGCGATTTGCGACTCCAATGCGTTGGCGTCAGAACGGTTGTCATGTTGTCACGTTGGTGACATACATAAGGTTAGTGATCATTAATTACATTAGTAATCATGTTCTTCTAAACTGATACTATACCAAATAATCATTTATCAAAATATAATAATAATTCAATAATAAACTAACGATAAACATATATTTCCATTCTGACGCCAATGCGTTGGAGTCGCAATACCCAAATCCGCACGTACTTGTGTACATACTTCTTGTACACAATGAACTACTTCCCGTTTTTTGAAATAATCGAAATTGTGGCTAAACTTAAAAAATAACTTAAGAGTTATTATTTACAGTGCAGCCAACTAAATTCATAAACTGTATGCCAAAACTCAGATCTTTAACTCAACAATTGAGAGAGGTATAAGCCTCTGAAATTTAGATGGTTCATTGTTGGACCACTTATCCTACATTAAATTTCATAAATCTTCATGAAAAATACATTAAATGTCATGTGCATGTACACAAATACACTTTTCAGTTATAAATATATTAAATTTAATGTAATGTCATGAAATTAAATTCAAATTGTGTAAATTAAAAGTATATTAATTTTTTTTTTCCATGAAATTTTTAACAGTGTACAAAGCAGGAACCTGCTAAAAAAATCTGCCCCACCGCCGGCATCATCCTCCAAACTACCACCGCCACCATCTTCCAAACTATCACCGCAATCATCCTCTGGACCACCGCCGGCACCATCCTCTAAACTAAACTACCGCCGGCATTATCCTCCGAACCACCGATAGAACAATCACCTACCAAGGTAACAGAGTCAACAGGTTGTGTCGAGACGTAAGTACAAGATTTATATCAAATATTTAATATGCCTACTAATTACTCAGATAATAAAAAATGTCTAAAATCGGGTCACAAGACGTTTTTTGCGTTTAAAAAACGACTTAAAGACGTCTTATGTCACAATTTTAGACTTTGTTTGGGTAGTATCTGTTCATTAAATTATCTCAATTTTAACAATTTGTTTCAGCACCACAATGGAAAAGAAGATGACGTGGTCGAGGCCATGGTCATGGCCAGGGACAACAAAAAAAATCTGTAATATACATAAATATGTAAAAACGTAAGTAATTAGTTAAAACTTTAAAATATTTTCAAAATATCGAAATATACTGAGAGATTAAATTTAAATCTTATCACATTTTGTAATATAATGTATATACATTCACACACATATTAGTAGATTAATCTTTATTCTTTTGCGTAAAAAAAGTATACTGTAAATTGATTCGAATCGATTACTTGTATTATCTATGTCGAGAAAGTTCCGAGTTTGAATAGATTGCACATAAACTAGCAATATTTAGTCAAATTTTGTTAATTTTTTATTTTGAGAATTTTGTTAGTAATTACGGTAGATAAGCTAGTATACATGACAATGTATGTATGGTATATGGTATATAACAGTCCCAAATATTATTTTGTGGTTACAGAATGAAGTCTACGGAGCAGGCTAAAAGGGATAAATTCCGAATTTTGAAGATAACTTGATGGTGTGAAAGATTTCGATACTATCCGACTCGGTTACTAATCATACTGTTAAAAACTATCCCCTCTAATGGCGTGAATTACGATATACTTGTCAGGTTTACGTCGGCCTGCTTTCCTCTAAACCACATTCCCTCTAATTTAGGTTGTTTTTCTAAAAAACTGAAATCCTTGTACACACATGTTTAGAAATGTATATCTATTGTGGATAATAAACTGAATATCCCTGGTGAAAAAGTTTCACTGAAATTATTCCACGTTTTGGAACATTTCAGCGAAATTGCTGAAAATTTGCTGAAATTTCATTGAAAGTGAATTTTTCAGCTAACATACTGAAAAATCAAATCACTGAAATCCAACCGAAATTTCTCTGAAATTCTTACTGAAATTTGTCTGAAAATTTTGCTGAAATTTTTCTGAAATTTTGTCGAAAATGTATTTTTCAGCTAAAAATCACTGAAATTAAACTGAAATTTTTTTGAAATGCTGAAATTTTGTTGAAAAGTGTTCCAAAACATGCAATAATTTCAGCAACATTTGACCAGGGATCTATCAGAACAACGCGGCGATCGGCCTCGTGTGAATATATTTTTCGTAATTATCTATTTTCTAAATAAACATGTTAAAATATAACAAAACTAAAATAATCTCAACAATTCGCAGTATAAAACATGCGGTTCATTATTAAAAATAGCATGGTTTATTGTGTACACATCCCTTGTACACTTCTCGTTTTTTTAAATAATCGAAATTGACTAAATTTAAAAAATAACTAAGAGTTATTGTTTACAGTATGTAGCCAACTAAATTCATAAATTGTATGCCAAAACTCAGATCTTTAACTCAATAATTGAAAGATATAAGCCTCTGAAATTTACATGGTTCATTGTTGGACCATTTACCCTATTCTTGGAATGTTTTTTTTATTTTGGGAACATTTGTTTAATATTTCAAGAATATTTAGTGTTTGCTGGGTATACAAGTATATCAACTTCTATTCTACTCACAATTTAAGACCTTATTCAGAGGTACATATAGGTATGTTATACATGAGCGAGAGAACTAAAGAGAGAATATAGAAGATTTTATATAATATATAAAGTGGAAACTTTTTCGTATTTTGTTCACATGAGTCTTGTTTCAGCGATCCCAAGAAATCTTAACGTTGAGTTTCACGACAATTAGATTACTTTTTTGAAATTCGGTCCATGATATTGAATTCATCAGTTTGAGTTTCAGATTCTTAGGTCGGAATCAAATTCAGCGATTACGAAAACTCTTACAAAACGAGTCTAGCATAAGTTATTTTGTTAAAATGTTTTCGTCCTCAAAGAATTCAAGATGTAATGCATTTCATAAAGTTAAAGTTAATGGCGTTAACGTATTTATTAATTGGTCGATTTATATTAGTACAATTAAAATTGTAACATTTTATGTCATAAAATCCTTTCGTTCTCCAATGTTAACGATTTTAAGTCGCGTAAAATTATCTGTTATTCATGGCAAGCAATCGACGTGCGTTTGGCTGCGTGATAATTAGCTTGAACGAAGGAATCTTGCACCGCGTTCATTTTATCGAGTATATTGAACGTCGTAACAAGATCAGATAAGGGACGATATTGAATTTAAAATAAAATAAAGAACAAAAGCATGTACGATCTATTTATACGATACGCCGCTTTTCATTGGCGATCCGAATATCGACGACGCGAAAATAGGACGCGGTAAACGGAAATCGGTAAGCGATTAAATTGGAGCCATTTGCAGAAGAATACGGAGAAATTCGATCGCATGTGCCCAGGAACTCCAGGAAGCGCACGAGTCCTCAACGAGTTCGAATTGATAGTTCGTAGTCGTGATAAGCATCGCGCAACACAATAAATACGGAAATCGCGTTAGCAACCGGATTACGAGGGTGCGAATTAACGATAGCAGGCTGGCCGTTGAACCAATCTACGAAATTTGTGATTACATCCTCGAACGGCAGAAAGGGGAATTGTTGGTTTCACTGAGGAGAAGTTGAAAGAATAAGACAGAGAAATACATCGTTAATGAAATTACGAATGTCCGTATATTTGATCTTAGCAGTAGTGTGTGAATAGTAATAAAAATAATAATAATAATCGCGTCGTAATCATAATATATCGCTTCTAATGATCGTGACTTTTTTTCATAAAAATCTAAAAGTAATAATCATAATAATACAATCAATAAACTGCGATATAATAATTACTATACTGTAAAAAATCACTACCATCTTTGGGAGACAATGCGTAAGAGAAAGAAGATAAGGTAGTGAACGCAGTGGAAACTTAAGATTAAAAGGTAGAGAAGTCGAGTGTGAAGAAAAAGATGCAAAGAAAGAGGGAAAAGTTGTTTCGTACAAAATTAGTTCGCAGGTTTAGCTCAAGGTATAATTAATAACATTACTTTATCATAATATTATATTCAAATTCCTGCCAATCGAACATAACCGCCTGAAAGTGCTCTTTCTTTCTCTCTCTCTTTCTCTTTCCCCCTTCCCTCCCTCCCTCTCTTTCTCGCACGCACGCACATGCACACGCAAAAGCTCATACTCACTCACTTTTTCTCTCTTTACATTCTCTCCCTCTTTTCCTTCCATTTTTATTCTGTGTATGTCCCACTCATTCTGTCTTTGCGCGATAAAAAGCTTCCGCCATTTAAAAAGCAGTCTTTCGTAGCACTATGCGGAGCTCTGCCCCTTCCTGTGCCTTTTCGTTAACGGTATAAAAAATGTCTCGCCACGAACAAGATTTTACGTTATCAACTGACGACCTATAAGACATTCGCGTCTCGACGACACTCGAGACGTCGCTAATCGATCGACGTAGAATGCACATGATGGAGTTAGACAACATACATTAATTGTCTAATTACACCATAGTAAAATGTATCTCTCCGTGTGTGTGTCGCGTGGGGCATCATGTCATATATTTATTTATTTACAAATACATAAATATATGTACAAATGTCTCACGTGATCTAATTTCGCTCGGACCTAGAAATACTGTCGAGCTTACGTGTTGCAAGTCGCGTCATATTATATGATGCTTTGCGTAAAAAGATGTAAACTCCGATCGACGACAAGATCGATCGTTTTAGTCACTCGCTTTAATGCGCGCGACGAACAAAGATATGTCAACTTGACGAAAAGAGACATTGTTAGAGTACATTGGTATATCGCAACATTTGCTTACTCTCGCTATGACGCCATGCACACGTGCACATAGCCTCGTTCTCGCCCGAACACTGATCCTCCTCAGTCGCACGGAGAAAACGTCTGATCGGATAATCTTGATGTTCTTGTCACACTTGTCATGTTGGTAATATCAATTAAATACATTTCTGCTACAATTTCTAGCGTTACTCGATCCGATATTGATAAAATCCCTGCGCGAACATTACGTATACTGATTGCGTGCACGTTCATAAACTGCATTAGACCACGTGAACGAACAAGTCGCGTATAATTGGGAATTTACTCTTTCTTCCCATCATTAACGCTGTAAGCCAGCTTAAATCGGCCTAGGATAATCCGACATCGATAAAATAGCGATTTAATGATTATATGAAGGATTCTCTTTCAAACCTAAGAGAAAGTATCTTTGAGATTATATGAGATTAGACCGTAATAATGCTTCTCGGAGGCGAAACGGCGATTCGCAATCAAGGAACGAGCAGGAAAGCGAAAGGGCAGGATATTCCCTTTTAGCGCTCGTTGTCTTTCTAAGTTACAAATTTCTTTCTAAGTTACAAAAGCTGAAGACTTGCATATCGCCCATGTTGTTGGTCGATAAACGGCATCACGATGAATGTGTTTTTCGTAATACGCGGTACAGAGGAGTGCGTGTGTCAAAAATATAAAAAAAAGAAAATACTGGAAATTTGAAAATATAGAAAAGAAAAAGATTAGAAACTTGGCTATTCATGTCCCGCGACACTATGCGTCACAAAATTCTTTCGATACAATTGATCTATTGTTTGTAAAAATGCGACTCGTCCGTCAAATGTCTACCCACATTATTTCATTTCGCGTCATCGTCATCGTCGTCATGCTTTTGTTCGCACGAGCTGGCGGAAAGAACCCCAGCTGCTATAACTAGACAATTAATTAACGTTAGTAATTACTCTCACTTAATTCTAAATTTATCATGATATCGCGTTATATATAACGATGTCATCTCCATTAGTCATGGAGCCAGCCCATATAGCCAGCCATCGTAAATCCGCTTTTTACTAGAGCGCTGCTACACATTTCGTTAAAACTACACCAGAACTTTTCACTAAAAGATTAGCAAACTTCGACAAGAAAAGAATCACGATTTCAAGTCCTATACGAGCTTCCTTTTTCCGTCTGTCTTTTTTCTTTTCTTTCTTTCTTTACTCGAGATCTCCGAATCTTTATGCGACACTCATAATTCATTATCGGAGAATATCTTTAATTTCAGAAGTCTCTTAGAATAGGGCCTTTTTTGTACAGACCGATCCATCGATATTGCACGGGTTTCCTTACAAAACAGTTGCACGGCAACAACCGATTGGCTATGCGAGCTGGTAATTCGTCAACACTGTTCTTACAACTATCCACTCACAATTTTTTAGAAAAATCTGCACAAATCAAGTTCATACTATTACGTTATTCTAAATCATCTTCCGTATAAAACACTCTTAATTATTAACTATTCACCAAACATGGTAAAACACATTTTATTTCATTTTTAATATTTAAGATTCCTTGAGAATTAAGATCTTTACGTATACATGCCAACGCAAAACAAGTACAGACTTATCGTAGTGATTAATGCGATAAATTTATATTGAAAAAAAAGAAAGAAAAATACATAGAATACTATTAATACGATTTACCAGCATGCAATAATACATCGTGCACTCTTATTTTATGGAGGAGTTGGAGAAAGAAAATTCACTCTGCGTTCGGCCGCACGTTAGGCTGCACTACGCAATCCGCAAGGCGAACAAGTGAAAAAACAGAGAAATTTCTTGACAAGCAGATTGACGAATGTTAACGTCCCCGATGTGCTTCGTAACGGCAACCGGGTGCATCGTTGGAACCTATTATCGTACTCTTCAGCTCCTTCGTAGTCATAATTGTAGTTGTACGAAAGATTACGTGAATAATGATGAGGACAATGACGATGATGTTGACGTTGATAATGCTGTACTTGTTGCTGATGCTGATAAAGATGCGGGATACGGTGTACACACTTCCTGGTCTCCAAGGCGCTAGATCCTGGCAGTGAAGGGTGAGCGAGTGTGCGCGCCGATACTGTATATCCCGATACACGCGGAGGATTGTGTGGCGGAGGTAAACGCGAGGATAATAATCTTGGGGCCAAATTTGGCCTCATTCGGGATCACCAGTTGGCCATGCCCGGTTTGTTTAGAGTCATGAAATAGATCTGGCACGAACTACCACCCTTCGCCGATGAGAAAAATACCTGAGAAACAGATAAAGCGGCATAATATTACAAAAATTATATATATGAACAAAGAGATATGAACAGGCCGATGGATTCCATGCATTAATACGCGTTTCAATTAATCGTTAAGTGTTGCACATTTCAAGTCACACGCACCTTATCATTACGTTCACAGAGGAACTTGAGTCGTTGAGCCTTCTTGTGCATGAAAACACCATCGAGATGACCACTCTCCACACTCCTAATTTCAATCGCCTTGTTGCCCCAACCCATAATTTGTCCCGTACCAATGTATGCGACGCTCGTAGGCATCTCACCCCACTGAAGAACCATCGTCTTTGATACTCTGCCATAAGTATTTACGTATACGCCCTCATTATCGTAGCAGAGTAGCAACTGCATACCATTACTGTTTGGCAACGCTACTATACAGTGCGGACAAATAGGACCCTGGGTCTGCGATTGAAAAGCAAATGATAATACATATTGTCATCAAACTTTAAAAAGAATAAAAATGTAAGTAGATGTATATGCTTCCAACTGTTTTTCAATTGAATTTAACAATTTATAGACTTGAAATATCGTCAAAGAAACTTGATGTTTGAACATCTGAAATTTTAAAAATAAGTTTACCACGCACGCACGCACACAATATTTCTTTATTACTAAATCTAGTTTATTGATTATTTTTGATAATTACTGGATTTAATACTTTTACCGAAGATATGTTGGAATAGACTTTAAATAATGCAAAATACTTGTAAATATTCTACTCATGCATTACTGATTATTATCGAGAAATAGATTCGGATTTCTCGAATGAGATCAGCAATAAATCGTATTACGCACTATCTACTTAATATGGATAAACAGATCTTGAGTTTTCTTACATGTTTTGGTAAATATATATCGTAAACTGTGGCGGAATCCAAATCGACCGCGTGAAATCCATCAGCGCTACCATAGATAACCTTTAATCTTGAACTCTCCTCAACTGTAAGGTCAACCAGTAGAGGTCTGTGTGCAAGCTCGCCAAAAGACTTGAAGGCCATAAATTTGTGGTACGGCTTTGGCGCCCAGGCGTAAATCTCTATGGAATCTTTCAATGCGATTACGAGGAACTTTATTCTTTCGTATTTCACTATTTTGAAGTGCACTGCGCCCTGCAGATCGCCCACATTGATCCAACCGTTACGTCGTTCGACTTGCTATAAATAAAGTAATATTCGATATTAAAACAGGTACACAGAGAGGAAATTTCTTCAATATACGTGTGCGTGTGCGTATGCGTGCGCAAAACGAAAACTTACATCACTGTGACCATCTGTCCGTAGAATTTTGCTCTTCAACCAAGAAAGATAGTAGACGCGCACTCTATTTTTCTTACCACTGATCGTAACCAAGATATTTTGACCCTCGAGAACCTCCATTTGTTGAAAACGTCTTCTACTGATCAATTGGTAAACCTTACCCTGTCCACTTCTGTCCAACAACATCAAGCCATTCTCGGTTCCAATTAACAGATTTACACCTGTAAAGCGATAAGAGTCGATTATGATCCGAGCATACGATCAGTGCGCGACAAAAGAAAATTCTGCACTGACTGTATACGCACCCCATAACGCGGCACAGAGGATCTCGCTGTTGAAACGCTTCTTGTATTTGCGTATCTCGGGTGTGTCCGATGCTAAATCGTGGCTAGTGGGAGTCACATTAACGTTTACGTGGGACTCTCTCCTCGCTGGACCAGCTCCAAATCCAAAAGTCAGAAAAGATCGCTGCTTCTGTTGAAGCGCAAACGGAGGTGATTTCACCGCTTGTCGATACTGCAACAAAGATGACTTTGCCGTTTGATTGAACTCCAAGAAAAGCGTGCCAAAATGCCAGGCAAAAACTACTTTGCACGCAAAGAAATGCTGGAGTGATTAGGACAATTTGTCATCGACCCAAATATCGCCAACACAATCAACAGAAAAGATACAAATCGCAGAAATGCGCAAAAAGTTTCCCTTTTTTTTCTTTTATTTAAATAGTAAAAAATGCATGCAAAGGATTGAGCGAAGAAATGAAGAAAAAAAGAGAGAACAAATCAGCCGAGTCAAATATGCGATATCTACATAGCATTCATGAAACAAATATCATCTCGATCGCAAATTAAAGCAGTTTTTCACAAGGTAATATAAAAGTGAAAAAGAATAGACATTCGCATGTAATCCGTATAAATATGCGTATCGAAGGGATGCATTTGGTAAGGATTAAGCAGACTCGAAATTAGCCAACTCTGCGTTCAATGGCATCCGCAATTACACTATTAGCATGTTATTATGTATGTCTTCGTGTAATTCTCGAATAACACTCATTGTCAGTATACAGGATTAAACATTCGTTTTGAAACAATGTCATCTACCCAGAGCGCATCGTCGCGTCGCGTCATCACGTTTCACACAGGTGAGAAACAAAACCCAGAGAAAAGACAGAAGGAAGAGAGAGATGTGAGAACAAAAAGCAACGGTGATCGCGGCCGTGTTAAAGTTATCGTTTTATTATCGTGGTGACACCAAAAATCACACACAGAAACAGATCCCAAAAACCAACCAAAAAGAAAATAAGATAAAAACGGCCTGAGCACGTACACAAAACTGGCATTCATTCCCGCGGTATTTAATGAAAAAAGATCAACGTTCGAGAGCAAAATAACACGTGTCCTCATGTACCTCTGTTCCCGCCCCTCGCATGAAAAAGCGAGGAGGAGGAAGAGGGAAGGATAGCAGTCGAAATTTTTTTTAAATGGATAAATAGATACTTACATTGTAATTAGTATTGGGATTTGAATGGTCAGTAGAGAGCCCTGCCCTTCGAGTTAGAGCTCCCGCGTGTCCCACAACACACAACATAATCCTGAATTAGTCACGCTGACAACCGTATAATTGACGCTTAATAGAGATCGCACGTGAAACAGAGACATTGTGTAGTCCTATAACTATCCTACCGATCATAACTTAAAGCGTGACTATACAAGCCATCTTTTTTGTAATATATACAAGTCCAATTTCGATCTATTATTAGAGTGATTACTGAAATTTAAAAAAAATCCCTTGAGAATGCCCAAATTTTTCAGGTATTTTTGTTCAAAATTCTAGGTAAAAAAGTAGAAATTTTTAATTCAACTTTGAAATAAATTAGTGTAACGCAAATATATTGAAAATTAGTAAAAGACAGGAATTCCGCGAGACTATATCTATCATTTTCAACAATTAAAGCCGCGAAATTCATAGGATAATTCAGAGGTGTCCAAGACCGGATTGGTCAGACAGAGGTCCAAGACTTTTGGCTTGAAATTGAAATGTGTCGGTATTCATGCTTATTATCGTTTTTCACTTATATTCCTCACTTCATTGCTGTTTTATTATTTTAGCACACAACACTCGGTCTCAGAAACGACACATACATATATATATATATATATAGTGTATAATTAATAGTATTATGAATACTATTAATTATACACTATATAATACTATTAATTATATATTTCGTTTTGTTATATTTCAGTAATTATATTATAGTTTCCAAATTTCTATGGGGTGTCCGATAAGTTTTAACAAAGCGCTCGTATGTAGATAGAACAAACTAAACTGAGTCGAAAAGTCCTCTAGTTTGCAACTTTCGCAAGTTAATAAGATATTAATTACTAAAAATCGCTCTGAATATTGGTCTTCAATAATTTTTTATTCAAATATTATCAACTTTACAGAAAAACAGCAAGAAACAAAAATTTATTTTCTTCTCATAGAACTCTAAGAATGTTTTCAAAATTTTTTAATACCATATTTTCTCATGTTAGTAAAAATAGTTGCCAATAAGAAAGCGCAGTACTAAAAAGTTGATAAAAAATTTTGAAAAAATTTTTAGAGTTCTATGAGAAGAAAATGAACAATTTTTATCTCTTGATGTTTTTCTGTAAAGTTGATACTGTTGATAGTATTTGAGTAAAAAATTATTGAAGACCAATATATTTTCGGTAATTTTTAGTAATTAATATTTTGTTAATTATTGCGAAAATTGTAAAATTGTAGAGGACTTTTCGACTTAGTATAGTCCGCTCTATCTACACGAGCGATATATAGTATTAGAAATGTGATTTAGTTTTGAGGGTTTTTTTTTCTCAAAAACTGATTTATTTAAACAACATATCACATAAACATTTAATAACTGTCGTCGATCAACATTTAATTTTCTGGCAAATTCTGAAATGGATTGTGCTAGATTTTTGTTCAATAATGATTGTAAATGTGATTTTTCAACTTTTGTCGTTAATATTAAAATCGTCACTTTTGAATCGACAGAACCAATATTCACATGTCTTAATTAATGGAGCAACACCATTAAAGTTTCTATCAGAATTCTATGACCTTCAGCCGCTGTTTTCTTCTGATTAAAACACAAAAGCAACACATGTCGAAAATACTCTTTAGGAAACACCACTTTTTAAATAGTATAAACACAATGTTTATTGCGTCTATTGTTAATAACCGAATAAATATCATGGAGTAATATTAAAATATTAAGAAATAATAACTGTGATTGGAATGTCTTTGACAACACTGACATTAGTGCCATCTCTTGCAAAACCCTCAAAACCAAGTCACGCTCCTAATATTTAAAATATACAGGATGTGGCAAAAAGGTCGGGACACCTAAATATCTCGGAAAATATAAGTTTTACAGAAAAGTGTTTCAGACAAAAATTGTAGGGTTCGAAAAGATCTATTTACTAATCTTATCAGTTTGACCTTGGGTGGTGTAGCCAAAGTCAGGTCAAGGTCACATCAATTTTTTTTTTAAATGGAACACCCTACTTTTGATTCCAGAATCTAATAGCCGATGTCTGACTGAATCTGACGTCTTCTGGAGCGACGAAAGTGACTTCATGTTATTTGGTAGTAATGAAATATCTGATAATCCATCACTATTAAATAACATGAACTTATTTTCATCACTCCAGAAGACGTCAGACCACTGCTGACGTGTCCAGTTCAGATGTGCTTTGGCCCACTCCACTCGCGTCTTCTAATTCTTTGCAGAAATAAACAGCTTTTTCATGGGTCATCGTCCATACATTCTTGCAGCTTGTAGACGTTGCGACGTTTTATATACGGATGAACAAGGCTGTCCAGGAGTCAATATTTCCTTCGCAATATTCGGTGTCGTGAGACGTGAATCGTTTCGAGATAAGCAAAAAATGTTGCAATCGACAACAGAATTAGTGCAACGCGGTCAGCCGCTCCTCTTTTTCTTAATATAATTTCCTTGGATTCTCCAACGCTTGAGAAATTTAGTTACTGTTGATTTGAAGATGCCAAACTGTTGGACAAGCTTTTTGTGCGTCCGTCCTTGCTTGTGGTCTTTTACGATGGCTTTCTATTGTCGTTTATCCAAATCTCGAGTACCACGAGTCCTTGCCATAATGTAAAACAATAGTCTAACTCAGAGCTGTCCATGTCGATGTTTTTTGGCTTGAGATTGATATGTGTCAGTATTCACACCTATTACCGTTCCTATTCCTTACTTCATTGCTGTTTTATCGTAGCGCGCGATGCTGGTTTCATGGACGACACTAGTCTGAAACCGTTAAAAGTTTTTGACCTGTGCCTTTCGCTATGTTTAAAAGTATTCTGTTACTAATATTATAAGACTATTATTTATAATATATTTAACTATAATGAAAACAATTTCTGTAGACTCGAAATTCTTAAAATAAAAATAATAATAACACAATCCGTAAAGGCCATACGAGTCACGGGCTGATGAAGGTGAATTAAATGTATATAATGAAGATTAGTTTTAATGGTTGTTAATATAAACTTACAAAGCTCATGAAACATGTTGAATGTTCCGTTTGAGGTGAGTTACTTTAAAAAATTTGTTGGTTTTCTTTTGATATGTCAATTTAATTTTGATATTTTAATCAGGATCCACTACAGTCGGGAACCTGTAAGTGACTCATGTTGACGGAATACTTAACATATTAATTACACATATGTATTGCTGAGGAGGACTCCAAAGTGAGTCGAAACGTTCAATAAAGAGGATTCTACACATTAATGATTAATTAAGATTGAAATTAATCGTTGGCACCTTCATCAGCCCGTGACTCGTATGGCCTTTACGGATTGTGTTATTATTATTTAACTATAATAATATGAATAACAGAATACTTTTAAACATAGTGAAAGACACAGGTCAAAAACTTATAACGATTTCAAACTAATGTCGTCCCTGAGACCGAGCATCGCATGCTACAACAAAACAGCAATGAAGTAAAGAGTAGGAACGGTAATACGTGTGAATACTGACACATTTCGATTTCAAGCCAAAAAACATCGATCTTGGATCATCAGTTCTGATCTAACTGTTAAAACTAGGTATAATGATAAAAACAACAGTTGCAACATGAAAAACAAAGAAAGCACAAAAGAGCGATTTGGGAAAAATCAATAAAGATTACGAAAATCATATTTTGTCATATACAAAGTGCACTTACTACCAAATGTCTACTGTACAAATTTGAGCGCATTCGACTCACTTTGAAAAAAGTTATGCTCAAAAAACCTAAAGGTGATACACTTTTAGCAGTACTGTATATAATATTATCCATATTGAATGTAGTAAATATTTAGCGAATGTGTGCAAAATTGGCTTATACATTAACTATATCGTTTGGAGACACCTTAAGACCGAGCATGGCGCACTATAATAAAGCAATGAAGTGAAGAGTACGAACGGTAATAGGCATATCGTAATTTTCATATTTCAATTTCAAGCCAAAAGTACCCGGTCCTGGACAGCTCTGGAATAATTTAAGGAAGCCTACAATAAGTATAATATTAGTAAGCTACTCTATTTTGTTGAGAATCTACTGTGGCCCTGATTTTTTTTAATAAAAAGTAGACACACACACGAGAATATATATAAATATACGGATGTGTATGCCATACTTATTGCTAATTGATTGTCAACATCTTGTACTATCAACAAATAAATGAACAATGAAACATTGTTTTTAGAAACACAGAATTTGAAAATATATATATATATAAAATTTTTCAAAATTTCCCCGAGTCCCGATAAAATTCCATGAAAATCGTTGATTTTTAAAAGTAAATAAAAGATATCTCCTGAAAAAATTCCAGGTTTTCTAGGATTTTCCAAATAATAAACACTGATTACGTTATTCGCAATTTTCGCATCTCTTCTTGCACGTGGATGAGAGGTCGGTATAAGTGCTCTTGCATAATATATTTTAAATACATTGTATTTTGCAATATGTAATCGATTTCCGAGAACTATTTCAAAATTAAGGAGGAACGGAGAAGAACTGTATGCAACTCGCAAGGAACAGTTTTGTTTCTATGAAATCATGAGAGAAATACAAAGAATATGGTTAAAGGAAATAGAGACGCTATTTTTTATAGTAATAAATTGGGTGTTGCACGAATCGTTGATTTGCAAAAATTTCTTTGATATTGCCCCTGACCTGAACCTAACCGGAGATTCGAGTAAAGAAATAGAACGTGACTCGGGGAGAGTAATATTTCTAACCGTTACTAGACTTGTGGTAACTCTCTCTCTCTCTCTCTCTCTCTCTCTCTCTCTTTCTCTCTCTCCCCCCCTCTTCTTCATCCCTTCTCACTCACTCACTCACTCACTCGCTCGCTCATTCGCTCACTCACTCACTCACTCACTCACTCACTCACTCACTCACTCACTCACTCACTC